CCCCCCCCCCACACACACACACTGCTGTGGGGCGACAACAACCAAATTGGCACCGTTTGGGCTTCGAAAGAGCCTGTGTGCCTTGGTGGGGGGTGTTGGGGGGAACCCCCACCTGCGGCTCAGCCCCCAAGAGATGGGGGTCCACTGGCCCCCCCAGCATGGTGGGATGTGCCCCCTTCTGCAGGTCCCTGAGATGGTGTCTCTCCATGAGAGCTGGTGCTTGGGGAGGGAATTCTGCTGCACCCCATGGGGATGGAATCCACTCCTGCCCCACGGTTTTTGGGGTGCTGCCCCATGAGGGGCTGCCCGGACCCCCCCCCGAGAGCTGGGACAATGGGCAGCAACGGGATGATGTGTGGGCAGGGGCTGCATCCCTGTCCCCGTCCCCATCCCCATTCCTGTCCCCATTCCCATCCCTGTCCCAATCCCCGGGAGAGTGGGGTGCCCCGGGGGGTGCTCGGGCACTGCCCCCCCCCAACCCAAGCCCGAATTTGGGGCCGTTTAACACCTTTTTCCGTGCAAACCCAGTTGCTCTCCAGCCCCGGGAGGCTCCGCTCCGTCCCCACGCCTCCCGCTGCCTCGAGCTCTAATATTTATTTTTCATTTTGCAGAAACACCTTTGTTCTGCTTTATTTATTTTTGGTTAAAAGTCCCTCCCTTGTAAAGCATTTCCTGGCTTGCTGGGGGGGGGCCGGGCGGGCTTGGGGAGGGGGGGACAGGACCCCACACTGCCCCTCACCCTCACCTACCCCTTTGAGGGTTGGGGGGGGAGGTGTCCCTGCTCTGCCGGGTACCACCGTCCCAGCAAGGTGGGGGGCACCCATGGGTGACACACCCCCCACACACACGCCCCCCCCCGCCAACTCAGTGGGGAGGAACCGGGGTGTAAAACCCTCCTGGGACGTCTCGTTCCCTGTTTATGGTCGGGATTGAGATAAAGGGGTGACCTTCGAGCGGGCGTGAGCTGCTGGGTGCCACCGTCCTGCTGCAGCACAGAGGGGGGGACACGTGGCTGTCCCCAGGCTGGTGGCCACCTCACCTGGTGGCCCCCAGCAGGCAGAGCAGGCCCCCCAATTAACGATGTTGGGGGGAGGAAGGAGGTGTGGGGGGGTGAAAGCTGTGGAGGAAGTGGCTTTCCCGGCTGGAGCTGATGTCCCCAGGGGCCACCATCCCAGGCAGGGACCGGGGCTTCCAAAAAAAAAAAAACCCAAACCAACAAAAAAAAACCCTCCCTGAAAGACAAACAGGGTGGGATCTGATGGGCCGGGCGCCAGGAGCCCAGCGCCGAGGCTGCGGGTCCTCTCCCCGTCGCTTGCCCCGCGCCCGGGGACGGTGGCCACGGGACGTTGCCCGTCGATGCCGCGTGGTTTCGGTCCTGGGCAATGATTAACCCGGCTCCGGGGGGGCCGTGCCATCCCCCCCCCCACACACACACACTGCTGTGGGGCGACAACAACCAAATTGGCACCGTTTGGGCTTCGAAAGAGCCTGTGTGCCTTGGTGGGGGGTGTTGGGGGGAACCCCCACCTGCGGCTCAGCCCCCAAGAGATGGGGGTCCCCTGGCCCCCCCCTGTGTGGTGGGATGTGCCCCCTTCTGTTTGGGCTTCGAAAGAGCCTGTGTGCCTTGGTGGGGGGTGTTGGGGGGAACCCCCACCTGCGGCTCAGCCCCCAAGAGATGGGGGTCCACTGGCCCCCCCAGCATGGTGGGATGTGCCCCCTTCTGCAGGTCCCTGAGATGGTGTCTCTCCATGAGAGCTGGTGCTTGGGGAGGGAATTCTGCTGCACCCCATGGGGATGGAATCCACTCCTGCCCCACGGTTTTTGGGGTGCTGCCCCATGAGGGGCTGCCCGGACCCCCCCCCGAGAGCTGGGACAATGGGCAGCAACGGGATGATGTGTGGGCAGGGGCTGCATCCCTGTCCCCGTCCCCATCCCCATTCCTGTCCCCATTCCCATCCCTGTCCCAATCCCCGGGAGAGTGGGGTGCCCCGGGGGGTGCTCGGGCACTGCCCCCCCCCAACCCAAGCCCGAATTTGGGGCCGTTTAACACCTTTTTCCGTGCAAACCCAGTTGCTCTCCAGCCCCGGGAGGCTCCGCTCCGTCCCCACGCCTCCCGCTGCCTCGAGCTCTAATATTTATTTTTCATTTTGCAGAAACACCTTTGTTCTGCTTTATTTATTTTTGGTTAAAAGTCCCTCCCTTGTAAAGCATTTCCTGGCCTGC